CGAACTGAACAGTGCTCAGACCGGACTCCCTGGTGAAAAGATCCTGGAAGTAGTTACGAAAAGCCGCACATATTTCCGCGTTTGCAGTCACGGTCCGATTATACGGCATTCCTAACTTCCTCTGCACGCTCTTCAGAGGCCATATTCGTTCCTTAAGAAGACATTATTTTTACCCTAGCCCTTACTACCAAAGTTTGATCTTTCTTGATAAGCAAGGAAGCCAACTCTGCTTTAGCTAAAGCTACGTCCTCTCTATCACGGGATTTTACTGCCCGATCACAAAACGGCGTGTGAGAAAATATCTCACATGCCGTTTGGGCCGCTAATCTATATAGATTGAGCCAACGATTATATTCAGCAGCAAACGACCTAATTTTAGATTTTAATTATCCCACTACATATTCCCAACCACAGCCACGACAGTTCCCGCTGTATAATTAGTAGCAGCTGGTCCTGAAAATCTTGCTTACCAAATAATGATGAGTTCAATTTCCAGTAGCCAGCCATCTTAACCTTAGACTTATATATGTTTACACGAAGAAGACGAGCCTAAGACCCGGGTAAACTATATAATGGACACCCTAAGAGCCCTACATCGACTCTCCTAACAAAGACTCGGTGAAGTTAGCTAGAACGCACCTCCGTAGCTGAGCCACCGATATATGTCCAAGTCCACACTACCTCTCGAGGTGTTTATTACAGTAATCATCGACAAGGTCAAACTGATCGATAAAATCCCGAAATGGTTTCACGTCTCGGTTGTTAGTACCTGATCTCGGTTCTATACGATTTATATCGGAATCAAGGACGGCATTCCAATCACCCTCTAAAAGTAATTGAAAAGATGTCGTCAAAAACGGCTCGATCCGCCAAAACATATCAGACTGCTAAGAATGGTCATTGGGCGCATAAACCCCAATTGGACGAAGAGCCTTAGCCTTTATGGCAACATCCAGCACGCAAAGCCTACCTGCCGGATCTGCGAAGATTCCGCATTAGGTAACCCAACAATCGTAGATGTGTACGCAAAACCAACCAGCAATCGTTATGGGGTAATTGTTAGCGAGTCAATTACCATAGAGCAGTGAGTTAGATCCTGATTGTGAGGCCGATGATCTTAAAAAAAGATCAAACTTTGAGATAGCATAAATTCCACTCGAATAACAACTTCTCACAAACAATTTCTCTATGGAAACGAATCCCAAGAGGAGGTTTTCCCGATCGGCACTTTCATGCATTCAAAATAAAAAATAAAAATTATTTTTAAGATACTGGAGGGCGCTGAATTGTAGTCAGGGTCTCCGTTTATGAATAGTCAATGCAGTTATTATTTAATAAGAATATCACTTGAAAACTCAATATTAATACAGGATTTTAAAAGATTTAAAAGTTTATAAATTATTCTAATCTAAATTTTAAAAAATGAAATCATTTATAGTAAATTTCATTATTTATGGCAAAAAACTATTACGGTCGTAGTGCCATAAAATATTTTTTTTTCCTAAAAGTATTTAAAAGCATGTTTAATTAAATAATGTCTTAGTTAATTTTTTTTCTTATATTTTACGATTCAGATCTACTGTAACTGGAAGCCCTGATTTAAATTCTTCTAAGTTTTTTCCTTAAAATCATTAAGGGATACAAGAAAGAAATAGTCGAAAATACATAAAATTAAGTGTGGGGGTAACACATATAAATAAATATTTTTATCAACGTTTTCTAAAGAACAAACAACAAACGTGAATTGAAGGCAATGATTATGGCAGCATTCTTCAGCTTAAATAAGGAGTGTTCAGAAAAGTTGCAGAAGATTTCGAAGTTGTCTGCCTGTTTGAGAAATAATTTCATTCATTTGGGAATATGTCCTGAATGTTTAAAATTCAAGAAGTATCTGATTTTTGCAAGAATTTTGAAGTTTTCCATCGCAAAAAGACGCTCAAATTTCTCGTACTAATTTACGAATTGTAACCAAATTTTCGAAGGTTTTACAAAGGATTTAAAAATAATTTTTTCTTGAAAAATCCTTTGGTCTTTCCTCTCATATAACAAAATTTTGAGAATAAAAATTTGTTTTCATTAATTTGGGAGAAATCTTCATCATGAATGTCCATCTTTTTAGCAATACATATATAGGTACTTATATATATATATAAGTGCGTAGGTATGCAGAAAATAGAAAAGAACACGTTGGGTGCATAATCCGGGGTTCCTTAGTATTTTTGTTTTTATTTTTAAGAAGACAGTGCTCCATACAGAAGTAGAGCTTTATTATAATAATATTTTTTTGTTTAAAAATATGATTCCTTCGCTACATAAGAGTTCTCATGCTTCAAAAACGAGAGCCGAAACCATCCAAATAATTATTAAAATTAAGTTGAATTGAGGTGTTTAGTCCCGTTTCATCTTCAAGCGAAATTTTAGGAATAAGCTATCTTTGGTTTACGTGTGTTTTTTAGTCATGGTAGCGAAGGAATCGTATTTTTAAACAAAAGATATTATTATATATATATATATATATATATATATATATATATATATATATATATATATATATATATATATATGAATAATACTAATTGGTAATTAAAGGGATAATTCCAAGGTGGACATTAATCCAAAGAGAGTTCAATGTTAGTAACAGAAATCAAATAATTAATAATAATAATAATAATAATAATAATAATAATAATAATAATAAGTAAAGACAATCCTTAATAATCCATTTCTGTTATAATTTATTTCATGAATATATTAAAATATTCATCTGTTCAGATCAATTTTTTTAGAAATGAAATCAATTTGTCCAGACAAAAAGAAAAGGGAGATAATAAAAAAGAAAGAACAAGGAAAGGGAAAAATATAATAAAAAAGGAAGAAAGAAAAGTTTCAATATAACATCATCAAAAATAAAATAAGAAATAAAAAAAATTAGGAAAGAGAGAGAGGGGGAGAGAGGGGAGAGAGAGGGGAAGAGAGGGAGAGGGGAAAAGTGAAGGGGGGAGAGAGGGAGAGAGAGGGAGAGGGGAGAGAGAGAGGGGGAGAGAGAAAGAGAGAGAGGATGGCGAGCGAGGGAGGGAAAGATATTGAAATGTTTATTTTGGTTGTTTGGTATCAATCTGAGTTCAGTGCAGTTCCGATTAGACAAGAACTCCTTAGTTTGATGACGAGGGCCTTAGACTCAACACGAAGACCGACATCAAGTGCCTTGGGGAGGTAGTGCTATCCTGGTTCAAGGGAGTGTCTGCTGGAAGATCCTCTGTCCGGCAAGAGGACTCCATACAATGTGGCACAAGCAGGAGAACCCAGTCATGGCTGTCAGACAATTTCTGAAACCACATCACTCCTTACTCTCCAGACTGCAACCCACTTTATTATTTTGTGTGGGTGGGGCGCAGTTGAGCGAGAGACAGAAAAAATATCCTTGTAACAACAAACATGAACTGAAGGCAAGGATTATAGCAGCATTCATCAATTTAAACAAGGAGACAGTTCAGAAGAGTTGCAGAAGATTTCGAAGTTGTCTTCATGCCGTGGCAGAAGCAAGTGGCGATTTTACTGAATAAATTTACTCTTTAGTCCCTTCTTCTAGCTCTCTTTCGCACCTTTCTGTAGGAGATCTTGTAGTTTCCTTTCTTTTATGATGTCAACGAACACTCGTTGCCACTTTTGTGATGTCAACGTTACAATGTCTCTACTAGAATGAATTCTCGTTGTAGTAGAGACTTTGTAACCGCAGATACAACTATAGTACCGCCGTTGAACAATACTGGTGTCAGACGCCTTCGAATATCACTCGCACTAATAGTACTTGGGCGATAATACTCACTCGAAAAGTAACCACCGGACAGAGAAATAGTATAGTGAATATAGTAGACAATAGCGGTCCGTATAGTAATTTAGGATGGAGATCCGAATAGTAATAGAGGATAGACTAGAAATGGCGATCCTTTAGATGTCACTTGACTTCCTACAAATATGCGTTTCCTCTATGGTCACGTGGTTTACCTAATTCAATAATGGGATCGCCTGTGTTTGCTCACTGGCGATCTATGTTCAAACTCAAGTGTCAGCAGTGACATTTTAGTCGTATATAACACTTTCCGTGTCTGCCATCCGCAGTGTTATATCTATCTTAGATTTTTTTTAAGATTGTGTCCGCCAATAATGAATCCTGGTAGGAGTTCTAATTCTCTCAGAATTGAATAAGTCCGGTGAGAAGACACATCTGGAATTTTGGACTCATCTTTTTGCTGATGACTTGTCGAGTACGTTTAAATTTATCTAGTCGGGTCACCAATTAAAAAAAAACAGCAGAACAATTGCCATGACAAAGGAAACCGATGTTGATCAATCTTGAGGATCGTTGAACAGTAACGGCATGAAATGTTGCCCCAAAATGAAATGTAGTTTCACCGGAAAAATGGTAAAAACGGTAATTAATAAAATCCCTTACGTATTTCATTTTGATTTTAACGGGTTTATTTTGCTCCCTCTCAAACTCTCCAATAAAGAGTGGGTTCAAAAAAATAACGAGAATAATTTAGCTCCGCCCCAATAAGATTCGGTTATTCTGTTAAACTGATATTCTCTTCTTCTAACGCAGGGAGAATCGTTGCTCTCTCTCTCTCTCTCTCTCTCTCTCTCTCTCTCTCCTTAAACGTCGTTTAAATATGAACTCTCGTCTCAGAAATAAAGTCAAGGTATCATATCACCTTTTGTTGTGGTTCTTGGGTCTATTGAGGTTCAGACTGAAAAAAGAATAGAAAAAATTAAGGGGAGGGATGGAAGGAAAGAATGAATCCAATACGTGAGAAGAAAAACGTAAGGTCAAGGAAAGATATCAAGCAAGAGAAAAGAAAACGGAATAAAAGGAAGGAAGGAAGGAAGGAAGGAAGGAAGGAAGGAAGGAAGGAAAGAAGAAGGAAACAAAACAATCGAAATCAAATGGAGAAAAATGGAGAGGCAGAAGGGTAATATATCAAGCAAGGAAATAGAAGAGATTAGTGGGAGGAGGTAAGGAAAACATGAAGGAAGGAAGGAAGGAAAAAAGGAAGAAAGAAAGGAATAAAGGAAGGAAGAAAGGAAGAAAGGAAGGAATAAAGGAAGGAAGGTATGAAGGAATGAAAAGGAAGGAAGGTATGAAGGAATGAAAAAGGAAGGAAAGAGGGAAGGATGGAAGAAAGGAATAGAGGAAGGAAGGAAGGAATGAAAAAGGAAGAAAAGAGCGAAGGAAGAAAAGAATAAAGGAAGGAAGGAATAAAGAAAGGAAGGAAGAAAGGAAGGAAGAAAGAAATGAAAAGGAAGGAAAGAGGGAAGGAAGGAATGAAAAAGGAAGAAAAGAGGGAAGGAAGGAATAAAGGAAGTAAGGAATGAAAAAGGAAGGAAAGAGGGAAGGAAAGAAGAAAAGAATAAAGGAAGGAAGGAAAGAAGGAAGGAAGGAAGGAATGAAAAAGGAAGGAAAGGGGGAAGCAAGGAATAAAGAAATAAAGGAAGGAAGGAAAGAAGGACGGAACGAAGAAACGAACGAATGAACGAAGAAGGAAGGAAGGAAAGAAAAAAAAGTCGAAAGGAAATAAAGAAAAATGGAGAGGCAGAAGTGTTATAAATAAGACAAGGAAAGAGAAGAGATTAGTAGAAGTAAAAGAAAGAAGGAAAGGAAGGTACAAAGAAAAGTTAAGAGTGAATAAAAAAAGAAGGAAAAAATATTCAGGGTGTGGGGAATAGAAACACCGAGTAACAAATGCTAAAAAACAAAGATGAAACTGGAAGAATAGCTAAAATAGAAATAAAGAACGAAAGATAACGAGAAAACAAAAGAAAGAAAAAAAGAAAGAAAGAAAGAAAGAAAAAAAAAAAGAAAGAAAGAAAGAAAGAAAGAAAGAAGGAAAGAAAGAAAGAAAGAAAGAAAGAGAAAAAAAAAGAAATAGGAGAAAGAAAGAAATTATAAAAAAAAGTTGAAGGTAAAAGAAAACCACAGCCGATAAAGATATGAAGAAATTTCGTCATAAAGAAAGAAAGAAAGAAAGAAAGAAAGAAAGAAAGGATAAAATAATGGAAAGAATAAAAGAATTAATCGTCCGATAATGAAAGAAGAATGAATGAAAGACAACGGAGGAAAGGGATTTCAATATAAAAAAAAAGAAAGAAAGAAAATTAGCACAAAGAATGAATAATTAAACGTCTGATAAGGAAGGAATATAGTCTAATAAAAAGGGGGGGAAAATATCATCATATAAAATAAAGAAAGAAAAAACGAAAGAAAGAAATAAAGAAAGAATAAAACAGCAGAAAGAATTAAAAATTACCAATCCGAAAATGAATGAAGAAAGAACGAAAGTCAAAGAAGGGGAGATATTTAATCATAAAAACGAATATATATATATATATATATATATATATAAACCAGAAAAAAAAAAGAAAAATACGTCCGATACCGTCATAAGAAAATCCCGCCATTCTCCGCAATCCTTTGAAAAACACCGCATCTGTTCCTTCGCGTTTCTTATTCATCTTTGAAGAGACTGTCCAACATTCACTGTCATATAAGGGGGTTTATATTACTTAGCATTTCAACAATCAAAAATGAAATTTTCCTGTTTTTATTCTTTGCTTAGTTTTTGGAAAGCATCTTTCACTACCCCAATGCGACTTCGGGTTTCCCTGTAGCTGTATTCACAGTCTGTTATAACATTTCCAATATATTAGAAATTCTGTATTTGCTTGAGGCGGACATACCCAATGTGTAGTCCTTATCAAGAGGTATCTATTCTTAGATTTGATAGCTTATGGCCATATCACATTGAATCACCAGTTCGCGTGCAATCACCGAAGCTAAGCAACGTCGATCCTGGTCATCACCTACATGAGTAACCGTTTGGGAATACCCGGTGCTGTAAGCATGGATGTATGGATGGTGTAATGGATAACGGCTCGGAATTGGAAATCGGAGAGCTGAGTTCAAATTCCAGTCAGGTTCGTTATGCACACTTACGCGCAAATACGATATGAATCCACCTCTTCTCCCCCAGCTATAGGTTAATTAGTAATTAATAAATCATTATCAAACCCCCAAAATTCTGACAATCTAAAAATATGTTCTGGCTTTATCAACTTAAAAAAAAGGTTGATAAGCCGTAAAGAAGAAATGAATCAATCAATCAGTTTATGGTTAGTCCAGTGTATATACAATATGAAGAACCTAACTGAAAATGGAACCTGGCTCTTCAATTTCCTATTCCGAACCCTTTAGACCTTCAAAGAATAAGAATTTGTGGAAGAGGCATGGACTTAAGGGACACAAGACATATATATATATATATATATATATATATATATATATATATATATATATATAAAGTGAACATAGAAGTCAACACTTAGGGCGACAGTCTGTTTCATACTATATGCAATTGCATATATATAGCATGAAACAGACTGTCGCCTCTATGTTGACTTCACACTATATTTACACACGCTCTATCTCTGATATTGAGCACTTTATAAATATAGCACACCTTAAGACTATATTTCTTTATTTATATATATATATATATATATATATATATATATAAATTAATTGATTTAAAATATGTTTTTTGTCCGCTACACAGTTCTAACCATGTTTCAAAAATGGAAGCTAAAAGCCACGAATTTAATTTTGCAATTAAATTAAAGACATTAGTTCCATTTCATCCTCAAGCGAATTTTGGAGTAACTTTTAAAATTACTGGGTTTTAAAGACACAGCTAAAATCAAGTTTCCATGGTTACAGATAAATCTACTTCAACTGGACAAGTTTTGTCTGGGTTTTCCTTATGTCTGTATCATTGTATCGGTTATTAGCTACATTTTGGTAAGGGGTAGGAATGTATTTTTCAATGAAAACTGACATCCGTTGAATGCATGTCGTCTGGATTTTTTTTTAATTTATTGTTAACGGCAAAAAAATTCTTACGCCATTTTTTTTCCTATTTGTAAATTTAAAGATTTTCGGAGGTCTTCAGATTAGAATACTTTTTAGTTTTTATTTAACTACGATTTGAAATATTCTCATTTTTAATTTTTATTATACTATATTTTTTTTATGAACAGTTAAATGTATTAGAATCCCTTATATTATGTAGGATTATTTTTTATATCAAGTATAAGTATGTATATTAGGAATTTTTTTTTTTAAGTAAAATTTATGACAATGACGGCAAAAATAGTTACTTAATTTACTGATTTATAAACATAGTAATATATTGTTTCTCATGTAAGTACAAAGGACATGGGTCATTCATAAGCTTACATCTTCTGGCATTTCATATTATATTCTTTCTTTTTTTATTTAAATATATAATATATATATATATATATATATATATATATATATATATATATATATATGCCGTCCTTCAAGGGCACTATTAGTTCTAGGTACATCAGCATTGATTCTCTCAAAACAACATCACATACGCATTTCAAACATAGGTATTTCAAATAATTATCATTTAGTATAATAGTCCTTTCGATAATATATATATATATATATATATATATATATATATATATATATATTTATATATATATATTATTTATCGAATAATTTTCTCGATACGATATGTTCTATCCATTTTTATTGCTGCTGCTTTTGAACGTCGTCAAGTGATGTGGTTTCTGTTATTTGGTACAGTTCTTTTCTGGCTTGGCAGCAACATTCGATTGGATCCGATGAAGGATTTGTTTTAAGAAAAATGTATCCAATGTCTTCATAAAATCGTAATCGTAATAGAGGAAGTAACCAAGATATCTTCAAGAAAATGCCAACATAAATAAATTCTACGCTGACAGCTGATTCCTTGGGCACACAATGAGGAAGGAGGGCTTGGTAAATTTAACCCACACAGGACATAGATGGTAAGAGAGATGGGGAAGGCGGCAAGCCACTTACCTGATGATCTTGCATGAATGGCGTAAGGTAAGAATAACTGCTAAGAGCCAGACGAGATAGGAAGTTATGGAATGCCATGATCGCTATATCTTGAAGGCAGACCGCATATACACAAGGGAGCATTTTAATAGTAATGGGATAAAAAATGTTTCCCTACAGGAAACAAAGGACCTCAATTAATTGAGAAGCTAATGTTAATGTCGGTTGAAATTGACAACATCTTTTTCATAACATCTTTTCGTAACATCTTTTCCATAAAACAGTTTTCAAGAAATAAGCATTCCTCTAAGGGCTATAGCTCTTGATCCGATTTTGTTTCTAAACTATTTGTTTAATGTAACGTGAAAGGTTAACCTACTGATTATATAAGAAAAATTAGTCAAGACCATTGATAACCAACTGTTCCTTAAATACCGGGTGTAACAGCAAAATTGGCCAAATCGTGTAACAGCATAATTGTCCACCCCCACAAAATGTTTAATATCTAAAAATCCAGTAAACTAATTGAGTTTCTTTTTTTCCAGGTTTTCAGATAAGACGTTTAGCCATTTTGACACACTTTGTTTTAACAATCACTGAAAAACCCTCTCACTTATTTAGCTAGAAAGAGAACAGTTTAAAATCGTTTTGGGTCAGCTCCCACTATGCCTTCCCAACTGAGCAATGGTGAGAAGAAAAAGATCATTCAGGCCTTCAGTAATGGTGCCATAATTCATACACGGGCTTCCATCTTCAAAGTCCATCCAAGAACCATCTTTTAAAAAAGAGGAACAGAGGAAAACTGGATAAGGAGGTCACAACAAGAAGTGGGATATTCATTTCAACTTAGAGCTAAAAAGATCAATTAGAAAAGATCCAACTCAATCCATACGACGTTTGGCACGTGACAGAGGAGTTTCAGTTATGACAGTTCAAAGAGCAGTGAAAAAAGACCTGAAATTGAAATCTTACGCGAAATGTGTGAAGCAACTTGTTACTCCAGGATAGAATGTTAGAAGGTTAGAGAGGGCGAAGATCATCTTGAATAAGTTGGAAAATGATCATTGAATAATATATATAAATATTTTAGGTATATTTCAATCTTTCCGATTTTTAGCTATGATTAATTAATGATGAACATGTCATTTTCGTTTATGGTCGATTTCATCACGATTCTTCTGTTAAGCTTGGAGAGTAATTATACATCCTTATTGCTCAAAGCAGAATCGAATAGTGTTATAAAAAGCTCGGAGAATTCCAGTAAGATATCTTTAATCATTTGTAACGATTCAGAGCAAATTGACAATTGGACAATTTTCCTGTAATAATTTATATATCATTATAGGCGATGAAAAGTGGGTTACATACGACAATGTTCAACGAGAGTGGATTGATCAATGGGGTATAATTCATTTAGAGTTCTCAAAACATGATGAAAAACTAATGCACATTTATATTTCCAGTAGCTGCAACGTGTCTGCAAAATGGAACTCGGTTGGTTTCTTCTACATAGATCAATCTCCTGCATATTCACATTACCTTGCGATAACCAATTAATACCTTTTCAGATTACTGATCTGGATAACTTTCTCTAAGGGAAACTAGACTTCATCAAAAATCTTTATTACATCAAAAACCTGCAGGATTTTACTCAAAATAGGTCGAAGAGTTGCCTTGTAAGCGACAACAGATCCTTGCAAAGAATTTGATCCTATTTATTTGAATTTACGGACATATCAAGTTGAAACACCAGTTCCCGTACGATCACCGAAGTTAAGCGGCGTCAGGACTGGTCAGGACCTAAATGGGTAACCACTTGGGAATACCAGGAGCTGTAACCTTTATGTGCAGCTGATATAATGTGCATGCGGCTATATCATTTAAAATACCGGTTCTCGTACGATAAGCAGCCTGAAACCTGGTCAGTGCCTACATGGATGACCGCTTGGGAATACCAGGCAGTATAAACTTGGGTGTGTGGGTGGTGTAACGGATAATGGCTCGGAGTTTGAAATCAGAGAGCCGAATTTCAGTCGTATTCTTTAGCTTCACCCCCGCGCAAATATCATTGGGAAAAGTATGAATCAACCTTTATTTCCCCCCGCTAAGGATTAATTAGTAACCCTTGTATCACTAAATCATTCTTATCTAAAAAAAATTCTTATTTACATTCTTCGGACTGTTGTTCTCATCTTTTTTTGCCATATTCACGAAAACATAGAAATGAATACAATATGGGAACCTGTAATAAGGAGAAAAGCAATAATAACAACAGTAAAAAAATTTGCACTATGAGCTCTGGTAAAAAATGAATACTGAATCATTAAGTTTATAAGTCCCGGCAAAATAAATGCGTTGGTTAGATCCAATGCCTTGACCCAAAGAGTTGTGAGTTCAATACCTGGCTACTGCAGTGGTGAATAAAAACTTGGAGATCCGATTTAAAAATAGAGATAACTGAGACACCCCGAAGAGGCATGGCACGTGGAATCAAGGACAATCCACCCCAGTGGACGAGATAAAGCGTTCAGTTTAAAAATCCAATCACCTGAAGAAGACCGGAGCGTACAACGGCCGAAACATCGTGAATATACCAAAAATGATGAAGACAACAGTACGAAGAATGTCAATCAGTTATCTGCCATGCTTGATACACGTTTAAGCGGTCATGTATCTTTCGATACAAGACTGATGAAACAGACATTTTTCCCCGCAGTAGGTTGCCATTTCTTTCTGCGGTAGACCAGTTAACATCCAAGGTTATAGAACCTGGTCTGTCCTGCTATTTACCCATATCTGGGGGGGAGAAGAAGAGGATACATACCTTTCCCAAGGTATGTAAGTGAATATCAGCCAGTTATAAGCAATGCGTGATACACGCTTAGGCGATCATGTATCTTTCGATAAATGACTGACGAGGCAGATTTTTTATCCGCAGTAGTTTGCCATTTCTTTTTGCGGTAGGCCAATTACCATCCAAGGTTATAGAACCCGGTCAGTCCTGCTATTTACCCATAGCTGTGTGTGGTGGGAGTAGAAGAGGGGGATTCATACCTTTCCCAAGGGTATTAACACGTAAGTGAATGTAATGGATTTGACTAGAATTCGAACTCGGCTCTCCGATACAACACTTCATCTCAGAAATATAAACAGATAAAAAAAAAACCATACAATCTAAAAATATTCTCTGGCTTTAAATAACCTGCAAAGGTTGAAAAACAGTAGAAACCGAATCAGTCCAATTGAATCTACTTTATTTTTTGAAGTTCATTAAAGTTCATTTTTTTTTTAAAGGCTTTTGTGGACAATAGCCATGGATATCGAAGATATATACCTTCACATATCGTTACCATATTTTGATAAAGCAATAAATTTCGCATTATATTATAACCTTGGCTGTTTTTAACTTCCACGGAAACTCGATTTTTCCTTTTGTTTGTTTATACCCCTTTCTACAATAACCCCACCACTGCCTGATTTTCTTTCCAGCTAAGGTTCAACTCTTCTACACCTTCCCATCTCCAATTTCTCGGGGTTTTTACAAAGCCCTTTTCTTAATACCACCCATCCTACAGCCAGCAGCCTTCCTCTTGATCCCCAACGTTTTTTTTTTTTTTTTTGGCTTCCTCTTTTTTTTTTATGAAAATATCTTTTCTTGTACCTTTTGTTGTGGTTTTCTGCCATTTTCCCACGCGGGACGCTGATTCCTAAGGGTAAAAACAATACGAGATGAAGAGCGTCCGGTAAAAGAGACCGGCGCGAGTCGTATTCAAGCAAAAGAATAAGCGAGAGGACGAATAATAATAATAATAATAGTAATAATGGCGGAGAAGAAGAAGAAGAAGAAGAAGAAGAAGAAGAAGAAGAAGAAGAAGAAACAAATAAAACAAATAAAATAATACGTAGAAAAACAAGTACTTGATGCCTGGGAGAGTTCCCAGCACGTCGTTGGGTTGCCGGAAACGATCAAGCAAAAATGCTAGCAGAAAAAAAAAAAAAAGCTGGAAATCCGGGAAAGATGATCCATCGATCACTGTTACTGGAAAGATTTAGGATATTGAGGAAAGTTCTGTGATATTGAAAGGTCTTGAATAAGAATTGGGGATGTAGACGAGAAATGAATTGTAACTTATTTTACAACGACGCCATATTCAGGACGGTATGACCAAAAGTAACATCTTTGCACTAAATTATCTTAATATATTCATATCTATCTATCTATCTATCTATCTATCTATCTATCTATCTATCTATGTCAGTCTGTACATTATCTATGTACCTATCTATCTGTATGTCTGTCTGTCTGTCTATCTATCTATCTATCTATCTATCTATCTATCTATCTATCTATCTATCTATCTATCTGTCTGTGCCATTCTGTTCATTATCTATCTATCTATCTATCTATCTATCTATCTATCTGTATGTCTGTCTATCTATCTATCTGGGTCAGTCTGTTCATTATCTATCTATCTATGACAGTTTGTTCATTATCTGTCTATCTATCATACTCTGTACATATCTATCTATGTCAATTTGTGCATTATCTATCTATCTATCTATCTATCTATCTATCTATCTATCTATCTATCTATCTCAGTCGGTACATTATCTATCTATCTTTCTATCTATGTCAGTCTGTACATTATCTATCTATCTATCTATCTATCTATCTATCTATCTGTATGTCTGTCTATCTATGTCAGTCTGTAATATCTATCTATCTATCTATCTATCTATTATATACCGTAAAAATGGGTATGCTTCAATCCTCGTAGGACTCTATTGTAAGTGGGTGTAATATGCTGTCTATTTTTTTCACTTGAGGATAAAATGGAACTGATGTCTTTAATTACAAAATTAAATTCGTAGCTTTTAGCTTCCATTCGATTTTTTTCGCTTGAGGATGAAATGGAACTAATGTCTTTAATTTAATTACAAAATTAAATTCGTAGCTTTTAGCTTTTATTTTTGAAAAATGGTTAGAACTGTGTAGCGAAAAAAAACATATTTTAAATAAATCAATTTATAATATATATATATATATATATATATATATATATATATATATATATATATCAGATCACTAATCGAACACAGTATGTATTTTAAATATTCCTATATATATTAAATTTTAGTCTTCTTTACTTTTGTGTGGATCAAAGATAAACGCCATGAAAATATAGTCTTTATTGCCCGTATAAAAAAAATGTTTCTTTTCTCAACTTCAATGTCCTCGTTGTACATCACCCCATCTTGTCTTTCTTCTTTGCACAAGAAGAATCTTCATGTCACTTGAACCGCGACTCCTGTCTTCAGCTATTTGCCACATCCACATCTACTTTACTCTGTACATTGTACTCTACTTAAGTCGTCATTTTCTGGACACCATTTTTTCACCCAGGACCCCAGCCGTACGGGAGGTGCAGGTGGTGACATTACAGTCGTAATGAGGGTAGTCTTTATTCAAGTGCACAACACGAACCAAAAGTAAATTTAATTAAAACAGGAAAATGTTATTAAAAAAAATAATTATAGCAAAATCCAAATACCTGTTATATTTCGTTGTGTTCAGACTACTGCTCAAATCTTTGCTATAGATGACATTATAAACAAGACGTTTCGACTACGTACACTTTGTCCATTTTCAGATGTCCATTATATTTAGGTATGAAATGCTTTATGTATTGATTATTCTGGTATGTTTGCTCTTGTGGTACTGGTTTTTGCTCATATTTGCTCTACCTGATAACAAGCAATAGAACAAGGACTGATGACAAAGCAAAAATTATAACGACCATTCCAAAAGACATCAATGGTGTATTTTTAGAGCCTTTGATTTGAATATCAGATGGTTTCGAGAATTGGGTATCATAGGGATTTCATACCGCTTTTAATAATTCTTAGTTTGTTCTTTCAGATGAGGAATTACTAATATATATATATATATATATATATATATATATATATATATATATATATATATTATGTCAGTTACGGTGAACAGGTCATGTCTTGAGAATGTCTGATGGCAGGAAACCCAAGATCCAGTTAGATCAGGGCTACAGGAATGTAGGACGCCCATGGCTAGGATACAAAGACAAGCTGAAAAGCAACTTGCCAGCAAATATACCACATAACACCATTGAGCGCTTAGCCTTGGAGCGGGTAGAATGGAGATCAATTTTCAATCTGCTTGTCTGAATCATCTTCAAGAAGCGAGAGCAAGATCTAAAAGGTCAGCCAATCTAACAGTGATCTCATCTCACAATCCTCACATTTGCTCCATATGTGGCCTCCTTTGTAAATCACTAGCGAGTATTAAATGCCACTTAAGATTATCGCACAAAATTTCATAACTGAATCAATAAGTTGTCAGATCCTCATACGTCGCAACCGACGGGAGAGTCCATTATTATTATATATGTCCGGGTTCGATTCTCGGTAGCGGATACGCACTGTTGATGAGTCCCAAAATAGGATGAAACGGCCATCTAGTGCTTTCTGGATTCTGCTGAGGATTCTTCTAGACTCAACTAATTACTTAATTATGATTATCTCAAATCCTTCTAATAATTTCTACCACTTGTATATCCTTGTTTGAACCGACTTCTAAGGCTCTGGGTGGAGTGGCTTGGAGATAGTAGTCATGGCTTGTGGGGGCACAGTCCTATGGGTAAGAGAAACGCGGATGACTTCCACCACGGAATATGTGATCGAGCGGCGCTATCTTGAATGTAATTCGTTACCTCTTCGTCATCGAGGTCCGTTGGTATGACGTTTGCCTGATATCGTAACAGTCCGGGTTTCAGTTCTCTGTAGTGGAAGCGCACTGCTGATGAGTCCCAAATATAGGACGAAACGGCCGTCCAGTGCTTTCTGCATTCTGTTGAGGTTTCATCTAGACTCGATGAATTACTTAATTATAACAATCTCAAATCCTCCTAATAATTTCTGCCAATTGTATATCCTTGCTCTGGATGGAGGGGCTTGGAGATAGTAGTCACGGGGGCACAATCCGTTGGAACTTCGGATGAGTTACATCACGGAATTTGTGAACAGCGGCCCTATATAGAGTCTATTAAGTCATCTCTTCGTCACCGAAGCCCGATGGTGTAACGCTTGTGTCGTATCGTAACGGTTCGAGTTCGATTCTTGGCAGTGGACGCGCACTGCTGATGAGTCCCAAATATATTGGAAGGGGAACTTTCTCGAACTTTGTCCGCCCTTTGATTATCATACATGTTCTTACAGACATAGAGTTCATCTCAAGAAATAAAATATCCAACAGTAAATGATAATTGTCACCAGAATATAGCCAGAGATTAATTTGCCGAAACCTCATATGTGTAGAGCGTGTCTCGCTCCAGATCAGGCTAGAATAGACATTGCATTTTATGTCACACCATATCATGAAGTAAGCCAGGCGCCAACTCATAACCAGACCGGTTGCAACTTGATTGCAAGTGTAGGAAAGAGTTGCATGATAGATATATAAATGCCCACCCCCAGCGTCTATGGGCAGTCTCCCAGAAATCGCTAACAAGAATTTAGGTCCACGTTTCGGATGAGGTGACGAGGAACCGCGCTTACATTAGCTGACAGTAAGTGACGAAGTACGGGGCTGAAATAAAATACAATGTTAAACATGAACGATTTACATTTCGTGTTATCGATAAAATATGCAACGGGTCTCCTTTAGCCTGGAGGACAACTGCGGATTCATTACAATCTTCTGCAAAGAACGTTGGTTCGCTGGGACATGTCCAAATTCTTTTTCTCGTCAGAATCTATCTTGCATATTTATAGATCTGTCATTCCTCCGTGAATTGAATGCAGTTGTCATATCAGAATTGATGCACCTACTGGACGTCTCGAGATTCTTGGCAGAATCTAGAGAAACGTCTGTTATGGCATCAATTCTTACCAAGCATTTCGACTTCAATCACTTTCTCACCGACGTGACGAGACTTCACTCTGCCTGTTATTATTATTATTATTATTATTATTATTATTAAAAGAAATATAGAAATTATTATTATTATTGCTATTATTATTATTATTATTAAAAGAAATACAGAAATTATTATTATTGCTATTATTATTATTAGAAGAAGAAGAAATACAGCCCACACCCCACGAAGGGCTTTGTCTGTCATTTTTTTATTGTTCAAATTGTTCAGTGGAAAATGTCATGATGCCATTTTTGAACTTAGGTCTCTAGTTGGGATCCGGAAAGAAAAGAGTATACACCAGAAATCAAAGGACATAATAATAATAATAATAATAATAATAATAATAATAATAATAATACTCTAAGATTTTAATATTCATTACGACCATTCCATGAAGATAAGAAAAAATCCTGCGTTTGATGTTCGGACCACATTTCGATCTAACCAACAAATATAAGGGAAAAAAGCCGTTGTAATTGATTTTGTTTCTTTTTATGGAGTCGTATTTACAAAGAAACATGAAAGAACTTGTTTCAATGAGGAAAAACTCTTTTTTACAATAATATCTATTCTGAACAAAGTCTAAGGACCTCTCGAGGATTACAAAGTCAAAGGTCAGAGGTGCAGTCTATAAGTATACGTGGGAAGATAACAGTTAACCCTAGACTTGAGCAATATAAGATTGTAGCGATCAGGAAATCATTATTTTAGCAGTCGGTTCCATGAAACAGTAGCTCGAAAGAAGCTGCTTCTGCAGTGGAACTTACATCTCACTCATGGAATACGAAGCGGGGGTTCTGTAAAAATGGGCGTGGCATGGTGGATCTTGACCATGAAGGCGATGAATGGTGGAACTGAGGAGTGTCGTTCGTCTGAACACATTTCATGGAAATGGCGATAGAGTTAACAGCAGGCTTTTAACAACAAACCTACATTTTTGTGCCTTCGAAACTTGAACAGATATGGGGAACCCTTCGCAACCAGCAACAATAGATTTGAAGTTCAAATTGCTGACATGTATGCTGTGATCAGATTCTAGCGAGTTCAACGTGTCCACAATGTTGGACGTTCGGGCGCTGCAAGTCGCGAAGAAAATTTTGAAATTTAAAAAATTACAGGCCAATTTTCGGGCTATGTAAAATTGGTCTTAGAGCATAAGGCCAACAATAACTAATTCAACCAATTAGCTTATGATTCTATCACTAAAATGGTCTTATTTTAACTACAAATACTTACAAAATCATTGATTCTGTTGCAAATTTAACTAATCAAAAAATGTAGCTTCAAGGGTACCTCTTGGATTTGGGGCCTTGAATCTACGTTAGTTTCATTATAGACCACTGGAGACGTGCAACGTTTCGTCTGTGCAAAAGAGGTTGTATAGGGGTAATATGAATTCCAAGGCCATATCTAAAATAAATGGCGTGCTTAAATCAGTGGACGAACAGTTGTGTAGTGGACATTTGCATCCCGGACAGTTGTGTACCAGACAATTGCGTATCTGGAAATTTGCGTCCCTAGGCAAATACGTCCCTGGATAATTGCGTACCTCTGATAATTTTTTGAAGTTACCATTTTGTTTTAAGAGTTATTTATTATAGAAATTTGCACACCAATACCTTTAATTACTTTAGTTACCATCTTTAAAAAATGAGAAAAATTTACTTTTTAAAGCAAGAGAAAATTAAGCTAGCAGTTTCAGTTCACTCCTGCAGTGCGTACCACAAACATCAAAGAGATTCTGGATTTTATAGATTATATTTTTGGAAACCATGGCTAAGTTCCGAAAATCAAACACTGGTGGAAAAATATATATGAACAAGGAAAATTACGGATGCCACTACCATAAGAAAATTGCCGATGAAGCAAAAACATACTGGCCATGTGTAGAGCGATCTTGTAACACTGTTTTAATATTTTTTTATTTTATAAGTTTTAAAAAAAAAATTATTACTTCTTATGCTCTTTTCAAAATTATCAGAGGTGAGCAATTATCCAGGGACGCATTTGTTTAAGGACGTAATTGTCTAAGGACGCATTTGTCTTAGGACGCAATTGTCAAACGACGCATTTGTCTAAGGACGCATTTGTCTATGGACGCAATTGTCTATGGACGCAATTGTCTAAGGACGCATTTGTCTATGGACGCAATTGTCTAAGGACGCATTTGTCTATGGACGCATTTGTCTATGGACGCATTTGTCTATGGACGCATTTGTCTATGGACGCATTTGTCTATGGACGCAATTGTCTATGGACGCATTTGTCTATGGACGCATTTGTCTATGGACGCATTTGTCTATGGACGCATTTGTCTATGGACGCATTTGTCTATGGACGCAATTGTCTATGGACGCATTTGTCTATGGACGCAATTGTCTAAGGACGCATTTGTCTATAAGACGCAATTTGTCTATGGACGCATTTGTCTATGGACGCATTTGTCTATGGACGCAATTGTCTATGGACGCATTTGTCTAAGGACGCATTT